ATTGTTGCGGTTGTTATTATCGCCGTTCTCCCATTGTCTAATGAGTGCTGTTGCATGCCGGCGGAGGTTATCACGCTTCGTAGGTATAACCATTGCAATTTTCGGCTTCTGCTCTTGCTTTGGGAAAAGTCGGTGCACTTTGCTCCTGGCTGAGACCATCTCAGCGCCAGGCCATTCGCCCCCCCCCTCTCTCACCCAGGTGGAGGTGCCAACCCCTTTTCCCGGCCCTTAATGGAAGAGCTTCTCCCTCCTTCATCTCCTACTGGAAAAGTCGCCCCCCCTCCCCTACCCCCTCCTGGAAGAGCCACCCCCTCCCCCACCCTCAGATGATGGACCCCCCTAGTGGAAGAGCCGTTCTCTCCCCCACTGCCTAATAGAGGGGCTACTCCCTCCCCCTTCCCCATCATCTCCTTCTCCTTCTCCCACTTCCTCTCCCTCTCCCTCACCTTCTCCCTCTTCCTCTCCCTCTCCCTCACTTTCTCTCTCTCCCTCCTCCTCCCCCTCTTTCCCTCTCCCCCTCTCCCTCTCCCTCTCCCTCTCCCTCTCCCTAAGGAGGTGCCACGTCGTCGTCCACCACTACAGCCGCCGTTTACTGTACCGCGCACCGTCTCGCCATATTTTTACGCAGGCAATTTGCATTTTTATCGGTCAATTTAGCCGTGCTGGGTTGCCTCCGGCGGGGGTATTTGGGCTCGCTTTACCTTTGACCGCGGCCATGTTTGACGGCGATGTGATTGTAACCTCCATTACCCTCGGCCGCCCTCTCCCTGCTATGGTCGAGGGGGGGGGGCTGGGAGGGAGAGGAGGAGCGAGGGGGGTGCTTCCCCCTTCTCTCTCGCGATTGCTTTGTTGTCTGTCTGTCTGTCTGTTTCTGTCTCTCTCTGTCTGTTTCTGTCTGTTTCTGTCTGTCTCTGTCTGTCTCTCTCTCTGTCTCTCTCTGTCTCTCTCTGTCTCTCTCTCTCTCTCTCTCTCCCTCCCTCTCCCTCTCCCTCTCCCTCTCCCTCTCTCTCTCTCTCTCCCCCTCCCCCTCCCCCTCCCCCTCCCTCCCTCCCTCTCTCCCTCTCTCCCTCTCTCCCTCTCTCCCTCTCTCTCTCTCTCTCTCTCTCTCTCTCTCTCTCTCTCTCTCTCTCTCTCTCTCTCTCTCTCTCTCTCTCTCCCTCTCCCTCTCTCCCTCCCTCCCTCCCTCCCTCCCTCCCTCTCTCCCCCACCACTCCCCTCCCCTACCACTCCCCTCCCCTACCACTCTCCTCCCCTCCCCTGTCTTTGTTTCACTAGTGAGGGCGTGAGATTTTGTTGGTTAGTGGCGGGTGGATGGGCGGGCGAGTGGGCGTATTAAGGGCGGAAGGGAGAGGAGATTGGGTTGTTTTGTAGATTAAGGAATCGCAACAAGAAACTAGGGAATAATGAATGTAAGAATTATACTTTTGTTTGTGTGTGTGTATGTATGTATGTGCACAAACCGATTAGTGTGCATCGACGCGGTTGGCCAGGAGGAAACCCAGACTAATTGGGAGATCTCGCAAGGTGGGGGGGGAGGGGGTGCGAAGGAGGGAGAAGGGGAGGGGTGCACTCAGCTTGGCACTCCACGCTGCTTTAGCTTCTGTGCGCCGAGTAGGTTATGTGAGCGCCTCGTTGCTTCCGTGTCTGTGGCAGTGTTCATTTACTTCGGTTGCCCTCTGTGCGACAGGTCGTACTTCACTCTGCCTATGCGCAACAGGTCGTACTTAAGTCTCCCTATGCGCGCAGGTCGTATTCGGGTTCCCTGTGCGCGACAGGTCGTACTTGAGTCTCCATATGCGCGCAGTTCGTACCTGGATCTCCCTATGCGCGCAGGTCGTACTTGGATCTCCCTGTGCGCGCAGGTCGTACTTGGATCCCCCTGTGCGCGACCGGTCGTACTTGGGTCTTCCAGTGCACGGCAGTTCGTACACGCTATCGCTGAGCGCAAGTGCGGAGAGGGAGGAAGGACAGCAGCCTGCACGCCGGCCTAACGTGTGTGTTGGCCTTTCGATGGAACTGGTCTGGTGCATTTTTGTTACTCCTAACGACCTGTAATTATCCCCAACTATGCAAATGCAATATGCAAATGTATTGGTCGTATCCCGGATTCTCTTGTATGACCGCGCTTCTCTCCTTGCTTATTTTTGAGGGAACAATTTTTTTTTCCAAGGGATTTGTTTTTGAGTATGTGTGCGTGTGTGTGCCGCGGGCGTGTTCGGATCGCTGCGTGTCTGGGAGGTTGTCACCGGTGTTTTAATTGCCTGCTTCGTGTCTTCGTCTTCTTCTTGTTCGTATTCTTCTTCGTTTTCGTCTGCGCTTCCCCCGTCGCCTTCGTCTTCGCTGGTTCTTCTCGCGTTCGTCGGGTTATTACGTGTGTCTTCATTTGTAATTTGTTTTAATTTTCTTTCATTTTGTTCGTTTTTCTCTCTCTTTTCTTCCAAATTTTATCTCGTTTCCTCTTCTTCGTGCTCGCATCTCCCGTTTCATCTCCCGTCTCACTCCTTCGTAGTTCTTCTGCTCCTTCTCCCCTCTTCTTCCTCAATACTTTTCGTTTCTTTTCTTTCTCCCTCTCTCTCACCTCATCCGTCTCCTTTTCTAAGTTCCTTCTCCCTCGCTGTTCCTCTTTCCCTAGTTATTTGTCCTTCCCTTACTATCCTACTTTTTCACCTACTCTTCTCCCTTCGATTCCTTTTCTCCTTCCCTTCACTTCCCTTTACTTTACTTCAGTTCACTTCTCTTGGTCACCCTCCTTCCCCTCTTTCCATCCGTCACCTCCCATCTCCTCCCCTCCCTTCTTCTTCTCACCCTCCCTCCTTTCCCCTCTCTCCATCTGGCCCTTCCCCTACTCTCCCCTCCCTTCTCCTTTCTCCTCCCTCCCTTCCCTCCCTTCCCTCCCTCCCTCCCCTACCCTTCCCTCTCCTTCCCCCTCCTTCCCTCCCGTCCCTCCCTCCCCTCCTTCCCTTCCCTCCCCTCTCCTTTCCCCTCCCTCCCTTCTATCCTCTCCCTTTCCCTTACCTTTCCTCCCCTTCCCTCCCCTTCCCTCCCTCCCCTACCCTTCCCTCTCCTTCCCCCTCCTTCCCTCCCGTCCCTCCGCCCCCCTTCCCTCCCCTCCCCTACCCTTCCCTCCCCTTCCCCCTCCTTCCCTCCCCTCCCCCCCTCCCCCTCCCCAACTGCATTTTCTCCCGCATCTCTCGCAGGAGCGTAACAGGTCAGCGAAATTTTCATATTTTCTCGCGGCCTTTACACCGCACACGCCATTAAGTGCGAATTAGCTATTTGCAAGCGTCGGCGCTGGGAATAGGTTTTGCAGATTTGTAGCAGAAGGAAGCGTGCCGATTTTTTTTTTTTGTTGATAGGGGGGGTAGGGGTATAGGGGAGGGTAAAGAAAACCCGAAAATGAGGAGTGGATTTTTTTTTTTTTTTTTTTTTTTTTTTTTTTTTTTTTTTTAGCGGGGGTGGGGGGGGGTTGAGGTGAGGTAAATAGGACCCGAAAATGAGGAGTGGAATTTTGGGTACGTTTTATATGGCGGTATTGATTAGCTGCGGGCTCGGCCGGGGATAAAATTTGCCGCGAGAGAGAGGAGAGCGAGATTTCTTGTTTGGTTCAAGTTATTGCTGTTAATTTGTGTTTGTGAGTGTGCTTGCGTAGGCCGGGTGGAGGGGTGCCAGTTGTGGTTTTAGTGGGTGAGAATTGTTTGTTTGTTTATTTGTTTATTTGTTTATTTGTCCGTACATTCTTTCATTCATGCATTCATTCATTCATTCATTCATTTGTTTATCTATTTGTTCAATCATCTCTTCGTTCCCTCGTGTCTCCTATCCTTTCCATCTTCATTCTTCTTCGTCTTTCTTCCTTCCTTATTTTGTTCTTTCCCCCATTTCTTCCTTTGCCTTTTCTTGTTCTTTCTCTCCCTTTTTTATTTCCTTTCGCTCATCTTATCCTTTTCCTCCTCCTCCTCCCTCTCCTCCCCCTTATTCCTTCTGTCACTTCCACTTTCTGAGTTATTATGTCCTTGTTGTCTCACCTTTCCTCCCCCCCCCTCTTCCTCCCTCTCCCCCCAACGTGTTATCTGTCCTTGCCCCCCCCCCCCCCCACGCACACCTGATTCCCCATTCCCGCATTCCCCCACACCCCACCTCCACCCCCACACACCCTCACTGCCCCCACTTCACCCCCCCTCCCTTCCCCCCCGGTCCCTCCCTGGCATGCGTCCCCGAGCTCCGGTTTTATGAGAGTCGTTTACGAGTGGGAAGAATTTTATCGCGGGCTAAATCCTACATCTATTTGGCACACCGACTTCATTTTTATTGTCACGGACAGGTTGATCGCTGCGCAGACCTGTCTCTTGGGGGGGGGGGGTAGGAAGGAAGGAAGGAAGGAAGGGGGGGGGTAGGTAGGAAGGGAGGAAGGAGGGGGTAGGAAGGAAGGAAGGAGGGGGTAGGTAGGAAGGAAGGAAGGAAGGGGGGGGGGAGGTAGGAAGGGAGGAAGGAGGGGGTAGGAAGGAAGGAAGGAAGGAAGGGAGGAAGGAGGGGGTAGGAAGGAGGGGGTAGGAAGGAAGGAAGGAAGGAAGGAAGGAAGGAGGGGGTAGGTAGGAAGGAAGGAAGGAAGGGGGGGTAGGTAGGAAGGGAGGAAGGAGGGGGTAGGAAGGAAGGAGGGGGTAGAAAGGTGAGAGGAAAGAGGAAGGAAGGAGGATAAGGAAGAGTTAGAGGAAGAGGAGGAAGAAGGGGAGATAGATAGGGAGAAGGGAAGAGTTGGTGGGGGGGAAGGGAGAGGAGGAGAAGATAGGTGGGAGAGGAGGAATAGGTAGAGATAGAGAGGTAGAGATGAGGGTAAATAGGAGATTGGGGAAGATGAGGAGGTAAAGGAAGAGGAGTAGGAGGAAAGAAAGGAGGAGAGGTCGAGCTAGAGGAAAAGTAAAAGAAATAGAAGGGGGAGGAGGAGAAAAAGATGATAACTACAGGAGTAGAAAGAGGTAGTGCGCTGGTTATATTTTTGGTTGTAGATACTCATACGGGTTACAAGGTGGTGGTGAAGAATGCATGGACGTGTGCGTGTGCGTGTGCGTGCGTGTGTGTGTGTGTGTGTGTGTGTGTGTGTGTGTGTGTGTGTGTGTGTGTGTGTGTGTGTGTGTGTGTGTGTGTGTGTGCGTGCGCGTGCG